CGCTGGGAGGCGCCTAGAGCGGGGGCGTGAGCCGCGGTACCTGCTGCAGGAGCCGGTACGGATGGGAGAATGGGCCAGGCTGATTGTCACACGCCCACGCCCTGGGGAAGGGCTGTTCAAAACCAAGGGACTGGCCTAAAACCCACAGGATCGTCCTTTGGCCATAAACACGGGACATTTCACAAATCTCATGAGATTTGAGCTCCTGAAGCGGGCAATTCCGTGTTAGCCTTGGGGCCAGCAAAGGGGGGACCCTGGAAGATGGGAGAATGGGCCAGGCTGATTGTCACACGCCCACGCCCTGGGGAAGGGCTGTTCAAAACCAAGGGACTGGCCTAAAACCCACAGGATCGTCCTTTGGCCATAAACACGGGACATTTCACAAATCTCATGAGATTTGAGCTCCTGAAGCGGGCAATTCCGTGTTAGCCTTGGGGCCAGCAAAGGGGGGACCCTGGAAAGTCCCCCAATAGACCAGCATGAGATGTGCCTATCTACGGTAAGTGCGCATGGCCCTCCCCCACACCCCAGCTACCCAGGCACGGAGGGCCAGCACGGTCTCTGGAGGAGCCGTGTTTCTGTTGCTGGGCTAGCTCTGGTCTTTAGGAAGGAGGGGGCTGGGTACGGAGAGGGGCGTGTGGAAATGTGTCGCATTGCAGAAGGGGACTCTGGATTCTCTGTGATCTGCTGGGAGCGTCTCACGGTGCCAGGGTCTCTGCTCACATCTGGGTGGCGGGAGAGGGTGTCGATGGAGGAAAGACGCCCTGGGCCTCATTGTCAGGGCCTTTTGTGCTGCAAAGGAGCCTTAACGCGCCTGGGAACAGAGCAGAGAAAGCGGCTCCAACCCCGGGGAGGGTGTAGTCAGTGTGTGGTTTGCGTCCAGGCGCTGCAGGGATCCTGCTCCCAGCGGTTGGTGCGGCAGGGGGCTGGGGACATGCCGGGGGCACAGGCCGGCTGCACCGCACTGTGGGTGCTCTCTGCTTTGCATCCTGAGCCCCTGTACTTTGCACCCGGGGCCAGGTAGAATAAAGGAAGGACAAAGGAGGCTTCAAATCACTTCCCCCTGCCCTCCCCCCACCCGTCTTTCCCCCAGGCCCAAAAATGGAGGAACTGTGAGTCTGCCAGTCAGACTGTGGGTTAAGGGAGCTGGCTCAGCAGAGCTGATCCGGCCCCTGTCCCCGATCTGTGTGAGTCCCCTGGTGCGGGGCTGAGCTCTCAGTGCTGCTCCCCGGACAGAGCCGGGGGAAACCTGGAGGGCCTGAGTCGCTCCCCAGCTTGGGCAGGTTCGGATCCTCCCCCAGGGCCGGGCTCTGCCCCTGACGCTCTGATTCTCTCTCCCCAGCCGAAGTGACTCTGGATCCAGACACGGCGCATTCCGCGATGGGAACGCACGTGGCAGCCCCTGCCCAACACCCCTGAGAGATTTGACACGGAGCTCTGCGTGCTGGGCCGTGAGGGCTTTACCTCGGGGAGACATTACTGGGAGGTGGAGGTGGAGCCATGGGGGATCTGGGCTGTGGGGGTGGCCAGAGAGTCTGTGTGCCGGAAGGGATGGGTCGACTTTAGCCCTGAGCAGGGGGTCTGGGCTGTGCAAGGCAGGCAGGGTTGCTACTGGGCGCTTACGGCCCCTGGGGAGCGCTCTGACTTGACCCTGAGCCACGCACAGAAGCTCCGGGTGTGTCTGGACTGCGAAGGGGGGCGGGTGACACTTTACGATGCTGGCAGCGAGGACCCGATCGTCACGTTCCCACCGGCCGCTTTTTCCGGGGAGAGAATCCGCCCCATCTTCCGGGTGGGTCACAGGGTTTCCTATCACTTGCTCTTTCCCCATTCCCGGCACACACCCAGCCAGCTCATCCTGTGCCCCTGAGGTGCCCTCTCCGCCCCCATGAAACGGGCTCCTCTTGCCCCTCCCTCCTCATCTCTATGACCCTGGAGGAAGAGCCGCGTGGGGAGGGTTAAAATCGTTTTAGCCACATGCAGCCGATACGTGTTTAAATACAGCGGTTCGTGTGTGTGCGAGATGCGAGGCTGGAATTTTGAAAGGAACCAAAACGACTTAAGATCCCGTGATTTTCAATGGAACTTGTGCTCCTAAGTCACTTAGGGTATGTCTACACTGTCACCCTAGTTCGAACGAGGGTGGCTAATGTAGGCATTCGAACTTGCAAATGAAGCCTGGGATTTAAATATCCCGGGCTTCATTTGCATGTTCCTGGGCACCGCCATTTTTAAATGCTCCGTAATTCAAACTACCTGCCCGCGGCTACACGCGGCACAGACTAGGTAGTTCGAATTAAAGCTCCTAATTCGAACTACCATTAAACCTCCTTGTAGGCATTCGAACTTGCAAATGAAGCCTGCATTAGCCATCCTAGTTCAAACTACGGTGGCAGTGTAGACATACCCTAATTAGGGTGGGATGTTCAAATGTACCAGTGTCCTATATGTACTGGATGTGCTAGTGTATTTTCTAGAATAATGCCTTCTCCCAGTGCAGGCAAGCTGCTTGTGTTCTGTTCTCTTTGGCTACGTCTAGGGGTACGTCTAGACTACAGGGTTTTGTCGACAGAAGTTTTGTCGACAGATACTGTCGACAAAGCTTCTGTCGACAAAGAGAGTCTAGACTACATCCAGTTCTGTCAACAAAGCAAGCTGCTTTGTCGACAAAACCCTGTAGTCTAGACACAACCCTACAGGCAATAACACCTTCTGTCGACAGAAGGCGTTATGCCTCGTAAAATGAGGTTTACCAGCGTCGACAAAACTGCTGAGTTCTGTTGATGTTATGTCGACAGAACTCAGCGGTAGTGTAGACGCAGGTATAGTTTTGTCGACAAAACTCTGTAGTCTAGACACACCCTAGATGACAGGCTTTTGTCGACAGAGGCTCTGTCAACAAAGAGCGTCTAGACTACAGCCAGTTATGTCAACAAAGCAAGCCGCTTTTTCGACAGAGTGTAGACATTCTCTTTTGAAAAAGCACAGTGTGGATGTAATAACGCCTTCTGTCGATAGAACTCTGTCAACAGAAGGCATTATTCCTCGTAGAATTAGGTTTACCGCCGTCGACAAAACTGCCACGTTCTGTCAACTTACTGTCGACATAACGTGGCGGTAGTGTAGACGTGGGTATAGTTTTGTCGACAAAAGTCCAGTTTTGTGGACAAAACGCTGTCGTCTAGACACACCCTTTATCAATGTCCCCAATGGATGCACATGCAAGGGCAGTTTGTCTGTTATGACTTTCTGGAATGTTCTGGTTTGCTGTGTGAGGTGCAGTTGGAGACAGAAACAAAAGATTGGTTTCCTCATGGCTGTTGCCAAATCAATTTAAAACAAACAGAGCTTTGAAAGCCCAGTCTGCTCTCTTGTCTTGCTGGCCAATATGAGATGTCATGGCAAAAGAGATGAAATTCCGTCATGTGCTGGATTTTCCAGTACGTCATCTCCTCCACCCTCAGGTAAATAATCTCACTGGAAGGGTGGGAATTACTCGGACAATGCCAGAACTATGAACAGATCACCTGGAAAACTCCTTGAGATGCACTGAATTAAAATTGAAATGTCCTGCCTTTGTCACATCAGAGATGTTTGCATGAGTTACACACTGGCTGCGTCTAGACTGGCAAGTTTTTCCTCAAAAGCGGCTGCTTTTGTGGAAAAACTTGCGAGCTGTCTACACTGGCCGCTTGAATTTGTGCAAGAACACTGACGATCTCATATAAGATTTTCAGTGTGCTTGAGCAAATACTATGATGCTCCTGCTCAGGGATAAGCCCTCTTGTGCAAATGCTTTTAACGGAAAAACTTTTCAGATAAAAGCATTTGCGGAAAATCATGCCAGTCTAGACGTCGCCACTGTGTAAAAATTGACATATGTGTTCTACATGTAGTTCATTTTTCTTTCTCCTGTGGAGATCTCCACGATTATGCTGTAAACAATTAACTGGATCTGTTAACCACAGACTGGTTCTTGTTACGTGTGGATAAATACAGAGTTTGCTGGTGTATGTTCATATTACTAAATTTGCTGGCAGTACAATGGTGGATATCAATAAAAAGGTCCATTTTTAAGTCTAATGAAGCTAGGTGAATTATTTAATGTAAATCGTGTCCTGTGCCTGTTTCAGGTCTAGTTTTCAGGAGTGCTGAGTTCAATTCATTATTTATCAATTCACAGCCGAGCGTGTTGGTATAAAGCCCCAACTATTATGATTTATTGCACAATCCCAAACTGTTCCCAAGTGCCAGGAACCCCCGATATCCTCTGCCCAGCCAGAAAAACCCACAGCTTCCCCTTCCCAGCCAC